CGGGAGGCAGAGCGGCTGGCGACATTGAGCACTGGGAGAAGACGGAGAGATGAGACCCGAGAAAGGTTGGCACAAATTATTAGGGGTTTCTAGGCCATTGTTAGGATTTGGGGTTTGGAAGGACTTTTAAAGATGAGAAGCCATTGGAACATTTTGAGCAGAGATGACAGGCTGTAACTTACCTTTTAACATATGACTCTCTTTTGGAAAGAGTGTGCGTGGAGGGAAAGAGGGAAGCCGGGAGACCAGTTAGGCGGCTATCCAGGCACAAAATGCTGGTGCTTGGTCCAGCCTGAAGTGGTGGAGGCAGTGAGAAGTGGTGTGAGTCTGACACATGTTCTGAGAAACAGGAGTTCCTGACAGAATGGATGTGGGGAATTGGAGAAGGAGAAGACTCAAAGAGTGAAGTTTTTATTGTCAAATTTCCTTCTTCAGGATTTTAGAAGTGTCTGTAGCATGCTCCGTAAATACTAGATCCAGAAACTGGTATAGAACTCTCAGTTTTTGTGAACTCTTAGAATCTCTTCGATATCCTACATGTTGTAGGCTTATGGGGAGGAACCGAGGGAACTGTACTCCAGTGCCCATAGAGATTAAGCAGTTGATATAAACTATTAATAAAATAATAAAATAGCCATTGATTTAATATTCATTATGTAACCACAGAGTGGCCTATAGGGGAATAATGTCCATCAATAATTTGTCAAATATTCAGAGAAAACCCAGCAAAGCTACATGACACCAAAGCCTGTTAGTCAAGCATATTTTTTTCCTAAATAAAATTAAGACAGGAGGAGCATGTACAACTCAATTGGGATATGTCTTTTATGAGTGAGACTAAGCTGAGTGTTGACCATTTTATTAGTTAAGAATGCTTTTGGCAGGGCCGGCCCGGTGGCTCAGCGGTTAAGTGCGTGCGCTCCGCTACTGGCGGCCCGGGTTCGGATCCCGGGTGTGCATCAACGCACCGCTTCTCCGGCCATGCTGAGGCAGCGTCCCACATACAGCAACTAGAAGGATGTGCAACTAACTGCTTGGGCTTTGGGGGCAAAAAGGAGGAGGATTGGCAATTGATGTTAGCTCAGGGCCGGTCTTCCTCAGCAAAAAGAGGAGGATTGGCTTGGATGTTAGCTCAGGGCTGGTCTTCCTCACAAAAAAAAAAAAAAAGAATGCTTTTGGCTACAAATAACAGAAACTTGACTAAGTGTTTAAACACTGTAAATATTCTTTATCTCACTTAAGAAAACTGGAGGTGAATGGTTACTGGCTGCTAAGTGTTGCCATCAAGGATCTATGATCTATCTAAATTTCTAATTTGCTATCCTTAGCACACTGGCTTTTTTGTTTTCATGCCTGTCATTTCGTGGTCTCAAAATGGCTACCAGAGCTCCAGACATTCTGTCCACCACCTTCTATCAGGATAGCAGAAGCTGTCACAGAAATACCCTCGTCGACTTCTACTTAACATGTCATTGGCCAAATCTAGGCCACATGGCTACAAGGTTGACTGGCAGAGGGGGTAAGGGTTATCATGTCTGGTTGAAACCATGCTGTCTGTCCTGGGGCTAGGCACATTGACATCCTCAATAAAAATCACAGTCCCGTTAGCGTGAAAGAGGCTGCTAGGGAAGCAGCATACAGTGTCTGCACAGTGTCAGACTCCACCTTCCTTGGCCAAGATTGACCTTTTGAACATGATCTGAGCTGGTGCATCAGATATTTAACATGTGCTTTACAAATAACACTTGCTGCTGCTGCTGCTTCGCTTTTCCTTACACACCAGCTTTAACTTAAAACTTAAATTTCACAATTGGGCTTAGAAAAAAAGATAAGAATCATGTCTTCTCTGAAAGGAAGAAAGGAAAGAAAACCTCCCAAAGATTCCACATGGTTGCATAGTTAGGAAGAAATATGACTTTCCCATCCTCAAAACAGGAGAGCACAAGGAGATGTCAATGAAGAAGGGCTGTTCAAGTTGCTCTTCAGGCTTCACTCAGAGCTGTTTTTCTGTACTCAGAGCAATCTTTTTTTGTTTTGCCCGGAAGCCTCTGGATAGAGATTCACGTTATTTCACGTTATTTGGATGAGTCTGTAATCCCAGAAGGGCATGGCTGAAAGCAATACCCACTGAACAGTTCTGAGATTTAGGATACATCTTCCTAAAATAGTTTGAAGAGGCATTTGGTTTGGTTTCAGAGAATGGCAGAAAGCAAAGCTCTGTCACTGGGTGTCATAACCTCTGCCCTTGAAAGCCTTTTCAACTCAGAAGAAAGCACAGCCACTTGGAAGTTCATAAACCCACCCAGATTTCCTTTTCCTTATTTCTCTTAACGGCAACTGAGCACCCCTCGCTTCCGGCCCCCTTTCACCTTTGCTTTGTCTTTTCTTTTCTTCTGATGACTCCTGTAGTGGCGTTCCTCTGTGCATGACTTTTGTTTGTTGATTGGCACACTGATGTAATTTATTTGAGACAACAGCTTTGCAGCTGGAGCTATAGAATGAGTGGATGAAATGGTTTTCCTTCATGTATTTTTCAGATGAATTTTCCTGGTGGTGTCAGTTTCTTCAAAGACTAGTAGAAAACTGGCCTTATCACCTTCTCTCCTTTTGTCCCCTTTCAAGTCACGTCAAAAAATTGTCCTTCATACCCCTTTCACTGTGTAGATGCCCCAGCTTCATGAAATAGTGTGCCTTACACTGGTTTTCTAAATGTGTTTTTAAACTGCCTTTAGATCGTCTTACTAAACCTTGTTCATATTGGGAGTAGTCTTTTCCTGCATTTTAATCTTGTCACCAAGGCAGATTAGAGACAAATTAATTAATAAATTCCTAGAATGAATAGAATTTTAGAACTAGTATGCCCTGTGGATACCGTCTGGTTCAATCCTCTGATTTCACTGATGCACAGAGTGAAGTGTAATACCGATGACATATTTTTTCATTAGCAAATGCCCTTATTAAACCCTTATGTAGCTTTCTGAAATAAGCTTAGTCTTTTATTCTTTTACTTTGTTACTTCTTTATTAAAATTGGAATGTGCATCAATTAGTAATGCTTTCAGCTGCAATAAACAGTACCTGATGAACAGGGGCTTAACCCCTAAGGGTATTTATTATTCATACTTAACAAGATATTCAGAGATAGTAGGGAATCTTAGATTTGGATCCAGCTTACTGTGTCATCAAGAACCCAGGCTCTTTCTGTCTTTCCATTTTTTCTCAGGCCTAGCCTGTTGTCCTTTGTCTTCATAGCTGCTGCCCCCATGTCACAGGGTGCAGCTTTAGGAAACACATCCATGTCAAGGAAGGAGTAAGAGTGAGAGGCTTCTCCTCTAAAGCCTGTCCCTTTAATCAGAAAGCAAAATCACTTTCCCAGAAGCCCCCGAATAGACTTCTCTTTATATCTCATTGGCCAGAATATCACATGGCCCATCTTAGCTGCAAGAGGGGCTGGGGAAATATTTGGGTTTTATCAACCTTTGTAGTGGGAGGGACATAAGAGAAGAGGAGGTTGAGAATGGCTTTTGATTGGCCAAACCAACAGTGTCTGTCAGAGTAGTCATCCTAAAATATACATTCATGTCTATATTTTCATTTCCAGGGAGGAAATATAGCTTAAGAGCATGGGTTCTAGAGTCAGATTTCCTGAATTCAAAATCCCAGCTTCACTTCTTTGCTAACTCGGACTTTGGATTTCTCTCTGCCTGTATTTCCTTTACTGTAAAATGGGATTAATAATGTACCAATTGTATATGCTTACTGTATTAATGACGTGAAGTTAGCATGTGGGCACTCCATAAATGTTGTCATCGCCCTCAGCCAAAGCTTAGCACCCCCAACACCGCCCACACCCAGAGCAAGCTTCACGGCCAGCCGCTTTTCCCACTTTGGAACAAAACAACTTGAAAGAGTAGCTTCAAGTAGCTTCAACTTCGTAATTACTAAATTAAAACTGAGATAGACAAAATCTCAATCGGACTAGAAAAATCCCTAAAAGATTTATAGTCATAAGAGAATTTGCCTGCCTTTCTTGGGACAATTTATAACGGCCATGTTCTTTTATTTAGAAATAAAACACTTTAGGCCTTCTATAAATCCTTCATGTGTTGAAGCAGTGGGGTGAAAGACTTATTTTAACTGGAATCCATCAATTCAAGAATCTGAGACTCTTCTGTAACTTGCTATATATAATACTTCTATAGACTGACTCAGATAGAAACTTAAAAAAAAAAAAACCAGCACCAATTAGGGTTAGAGAAAGAAATCTCTGCAGTGTTCTTCTCAGTTAGGCAGGAGAATCCAGGAGCTGTTTAAAACATAGTAAATACTCAACAAATAGTTGATGATGAAAAAAATTTTGTAGAATGAGAAAGGCATCAGAAAATAATTTGAAGTTTTGCAGGACACCATAGTACTCTGACAATTTGGTAATCCTAGCAGAAAAGCTGGATTTTGGGGGGGAACCCAGAGCAGCTTCTAGAAAGTGTTGTGGTCTTGTAGGGGACTGGCGAGTAGCATCATCATAGACTGGTTCCTCAAGGTGAGTCTTTGGAGAGTTATAGGAGCAGGAAAGAGAGTAAACAACCACGTCCAAGTGAGGTTCAAGTGTGGCCAAGGTCATGAAGGGAAGCTCACAGGGCCACAGCACTGAGCCTCAAGAGCCGTCCAGTAGCCAAAAACCAGAGGTCACAGCTCCCCCAGCTTACACCCTTCCTGTGCCCGAGAGTTCAGGAAGCGTAATTCCTCCATCTAATAGCCAGTAATTCCAAGGTGACGCTCCTTCAGAATGCAGAACAAACAAGAACAAAAATTCTGTCTTTATTTCTTATCTAAATAAATGAATCCATCAGTCAGTCTCCTGTAGCTGTTGCCCACTTTGGGGAATGAAGTCAAGTCTTCAACAGCAGTCATATTCCCCAAGAAGCTAACACACAGGTGTGTCACACATATGCATTTGTGAACAGTACACTGACGACCATTCTTCCCTGCCTTTCCCTCCAGAAAACCCGTTATGAAGTATACGTCAGCATCCTGAAAGAGGGAGGCAGGGAGCTCCTGAGCAACAGTGACAGTGAGGCCACAGGACTGAAGAAGTCGCATTCGAGTCCTTCGCTGAACCCAGACTCATCTCCCGTCACTGCCAAGGTCAAGCGTAACGTGTCCGAGAGGAAAGATCACCGACCTGAAACACCAAGCATTAAGCAAAAAGTTACTTAGAATCCACCTGGGACCAGGAAGTGCTGGTCATGGAGAAAATAGAGTTTTTCAAGATCTTTCTGGTAAATCCATGAATATATTTAAAACAAAAAGTCTGTGACTAAATGGTGCATTAGTAACCTTTTCTATTGTATATTTTTGTTAGTTTCTGTACAGATTGTCTCTTTGCTCTTGATTTCTTTGCTTTGATGATTTTTGCTACTTGATAACTAATGCACCTTTTTTGTGAGGGGGAGGGGATCCTGATTTCAGAATGAATTCTGTATCACTTCTCCTTTGGTTTTCTCTTGTTTGCACTCTGCTCAGTTGTTTTCTGTATTCTCAAATCGGCTGTTACACTTTTTTTAAGGTTAAAAAATTTAATCCATTGTGAAACACTTAACTGGACAAACTTTGTAGTTTAGTAAATTCTAGCCAGTTAATGTAAACCTTTATATGTAAAATCCGACCCAGTCACAGAGGTAGAATTGAGCACTCACGGAAGTTCAGTTAAGAATTAGAGTTCAGGAACCGCGAGTTCCACTGGGATGCAGCGCTGAGTGCATCTTAGCACTTACTGTTGGGTTCTGACCTGCTGGAAGCAGGGAGGGGTGTGAAGACCGCAGGATGGGGGAGCTTAGGAGGCGCATCAGCTTGCTGGAAGTGTTGATTCCATTTTCCATTTCAGCCAAGCAAGGAAAGAGGAAGTGGAATCTTTTTGCCGTTGAAGGTTGCAGGAAGATGACACCAAGTTCCTTTTGTTCTCTAAGGGATAGTGGGATGCTCCACCACTGGGCGTGTGTTTGGTCTGCAGGAAGTTGTTACCTCACTCCCACAGGGTCTGGACTAGGAATCCAGAATCATTTCTGTCCTCAGTACCCTGCCATCCAGGAATTAGGTTCTTTTTTATATATAGGCATGGTGTTATCTCCTGGTTGTAAGAATATTGGGGTCTTCCTAACACAATAATGTGGGAAATGGAACCCCTTTTGTTCTTTCCTTAATCGGAATAAAATAAGAAAGGAAAAAGTAGCTGCAGTTGTCTGGCAATGGAACATTGATTCTTTAAAATAAATCTGAAAGTAAAAAGTAACTTGAATGAATTATGGTTGGCAAACTGAGAAATCTGCTGTTGCATATGCAGAGTTACTTAGTTTATTCTTCTTTCAGCCTCTTTGATAGCCACTTCACTCTGCTACTACTGAACTTTCTCCTAAAAATAAATATTTTAAATCATTTATTTATGTCTCCTCAAAATAGTTCTGTTAACCTTACAGTCAGGAGTCTGTTCGAATGAGGGTCCCTTTGAAATTCAGGGTGACAAACAGAACATTCTCTTGTAGAGGAAGAGTGAAAATTGAGCCCACAGTGAGTGAGAACTTTCTGATTATGAAACCTTGAAACTTGGTGATCCTTAAAGCTGTAATCTCCACAACTTCGGAACTAATGGAATCACTTTGAATACTCTTTTTCCCTCCCACAGAAATTTCCTCAGTTCCACTCAGTTTATTAGTTAAAGGTACTATGACCAAAGGATCAGGGACTCTGCGTGAATAGCATGGTTCCAGCGAGTTAGAGAAAACCCACTGTTAAACCATGGTGGTTTCTAGTGGTATAGTGTTCTGATGGACAGGATTATTTATTAATATTTACTTCCTTCACCTATATAAACGCCATCTTTGCTGGTGCCCAGAAAAGAGAAACCCCTCTCTAAGGTTGTAGCTGCTTGTTTTGTGATAAGTATTTTGCCACACCTTTGAAAAACTCACGCTAACCCTCTATCTTATTAGGTAAAGGCATTGATTCAATTTATGTTTCAAAACAGAAACAAACAGGGTAGTTACCAATATAGCACATGTACCTGATTCATTTTTGTAGCTTCTGACTAAATCCAAGATTTCCTCAAGGGAATCATCTTTCTTCCTAGAATCTGAATAATCAGCCTGTTTGTTTTCTGCCTAGATATTTATCCTAAGCAGAGGGGAGAGAGGTACCTAGACCACACCATCTCTGAGCTTCAATAACTAAAGACAAATAAGCATCCCTGACTGGCTTGAATGTTTTGGCCCACAGTGTGTGTGTCTGTGTAAATAGACTGTCTCTGTGTATTTTACTTATAATGTGTAATGGATATGGAATGGTGCCTCACTACAGTGTTTCTGACAGAGTAGTTCTGAGATACTTGGTTAGCATCAGCACTACTACAGCCTTGTTCCCATTGTATGACTCACTAATATTATCTGCAGGAGCCTCTGGCTATGCTAATAGATATTGGACAAGAGGGCATTCTTAAAGCTGTGTATAATGTATTTCCATAGTTCATCTTTAAAAACAACTGCAAAGGTTATTTTGCGAGATCCCAGATTGCCCAGGCATGGTGGTGTCCATCTTTAGGGGATGGGCTGAGAACACCTCCTCCCTGAGGCCTCTGAAAGGTTTCTGTCTGTTGTTAGTGCACCTAGCAGGCCAAGAGTCCATCCTATAGGAGGAAATGCCTCTTATTTGACTAGATTCTGAAAATCTTGCCATAGCCAACCACGTTTTCTTTTGTGATAATTTCTTTCCTCTGGTATCTGGTCAGAAGACAGTGAAGACGTTTCCTTTCACAGCTGCTCCACGCCAGCTGCCCAGTCACGGTAGAGGGGAGCGCTCTTCCTCCTGTTCTCCCGCAGGTACCCTCTGCCCAACCCTGCTCCCCACCAGACCTCAGCGCTGGAGCCTTGGGATTTCTCTCATGTGATGAATCATTATTCCTCTTCATATAAATACACTTAATATTAATTTTTAGTATAGAAAATCTTGATAGGGCCGGCCCCGTGGCTTAGCGGTTGAGTGCGTGCGCTCCGCTGCCGGCGGCCCGGGTTCGGATCCCGGGTGTGCACTGAGGCACCACTCCTCCAGCCATGCTGAGGCCGCGTCCCACATACAGCAACTAGAAGGATGTGCAGCTATGACAGACAACTATGTACTGGGGCTTTGGGGGAAAAATAAATAAATAAAATCTTTAAAAAAAAAAAAAAAAAAAAAAAAAAGAAAATCTTGATAGTCATCAAAATACCTTGGTGATAGTCTTGTTGCAAAATTGACCATAGAAGTGGCCCGTGTGTGAAATCCTTGAGTGTCTCGGGGTTTGTTCCCCCACCTCATGTACTGACTTTTACAGGGAGGTGTCAGGAATTCCTTGTTAGCAATCAAAACTTAGTTTATTGCCAGGCCATACACATTATTTGAAGTGTGTTTTTTTAAAACATCATTTTGCCAACTCTTAGTAATGCCTAATTAAACCAAGCAATACTTCTGCGCATTTTAGTTAATCTCAATAAAAGCAGCCTGTGGGAAAGCGCTGTGGTAGAGCTGTACTCCTGGATGTGTGTGACCTTTTCTGTTGCTCTGAGGTAAGGAGGATAGAAAGCAACTATCCATGCAAGACCCTCCATGCTCCTCTGACTGTTCCCCCAGTTCAGAAGATGAGGACTGTTTCCTAGTCAGAATGATAGGAGGGAATTAATTCTGGAATAGGAAGATGGGCTGGCTTTCCAAGGCCAGGCTAGGGTTGGTCTCGTGAGTTTCTATTTTACCCTGTGGCCAAACCACAGAACTTCTAAGACTGGAGAAGAATTTACATAGCCAGCAGGGAAGGAGGCCCTTTGCTGCCTAAGCACAAAGTTACACAGTTTCTGCTGGCCTGGCCTGCTGCTCTCTCTGTCATAGAAAGAGCCTGGGATGACGTTCTTATCCATGCCAGGCCTGCTTTGGCCATGAGCTGTACCTCTTCTCTGTCTTTATCCCCAGTCATAGACAACTGAAAGAAAATTGACCTTAAGGAAGTTGCTCCGTTGTCTTACTGTCAAGACTTTCTTGTGTTTAGTTAGTTGTTCTTGGCATTTGAGTTCCTTTGGCATTTTTCCTGGTGGTCATCAGCTAAGCTTTGTTAAGCCTGAATTCATAGGGGTATCTTAGCCTTGTAGGTCCAGTCTCTGTAGTTGAGCTGTTATGGACCTGGTCAGATTGCAGCAGGCTGATGGCCACCTTTCTGAATTTCAGCTCCAAACAATCCCTTCACTTTTCAAATGACAGAATTTTTTCAATTGTAAAATTAGCATTGTTAAACAAAGAACCAAAGTGGCATCCTAGGACGTGTTAAAAGTAGAATTTACTTAATGAATAATAGTGCAGCTTTGGGTTTAAGGAGCATCTGCATTTCTCACAGAGCATCTAAGTTACTCTGATGGAAAAAGATCAGTCAGCTGTGCAGGCAGATGAGCCTCTGGGCCCACCTTGCTCCAAAGCTCTCTGGCTGTCTCTTCTCCCAGGCCAGGCCACTAGTCTGCCCCAGTCAGCCTGGTGGCATCGTACACCATCAAGTCACCCAGAGGACGGCAGAGATCGTAGTCCACCACAGAGTAATCCCAGCAAGTGACAGAGGGGTACTTTTCACTGCTTCTTCTCTCAGATTCCTTTTCAATGTCTCACTCTTAGAAGGAGGACTGAAGTCCAAAGTCATTGTCCTTCTCCTTTTGTACCTATAGTATCTGAAACCCCAGTGGGCAGCCTTCTGCTTAGGACAGTATCTGGCCCACTGCGTGCAGGGAGAGTGTCTTCATAGGGAGAATGTCAGGAAATACTTGAATCTGCATGACAGTTGTTGACTTGAATGCAACAGCAGGAAATATCACAAGTAACTGTATATACAGGAGGTTTCCTTAAGTGTCTTTGGCTCATCCTTTGTAATTTATGTGTGTATCAGTAGTTTTGGAGAATATTCACATAGATCAGTATGTCAGACATCAAAAAAAAATGCTTTCTGTCTCCCACCAATGTTGTATTGTGGGTATTTATAGTTGTATGTATGTGTATGTATCAATGTGTAGATTGTATATCAGTATATGGTATATGTATATCAAATTTATTTTTGTCCTAATAAGCAGTGTGATATGAAAAGCAAGTAAAAACCTCATAGGATTGAGTATATAATGCAGTTATTGAGAGTATATATAATGGTAGTTTTATTAAACTTAAATTCAAATGATATTTTGATTAAATTTTTTTAATAATAAGATTTTTTGCTAGAAAATTCCATCTTTGAGCTTTGGGTCACCAGGGCAAAAATGACTCTGAACTAACTTTGGGGAACTGTTTCAGTGTACTGTGTATGATACCAAGCAGGTAACTCATTATAATTTGGGACACACAGAAAGAAAGAAAAAACAAGCAGCCTGTGCAGTCTCAGCAACTTGAGTATTGTGAGCACTTCAAGTCAAATGGACGATTTGGGGCTTATTACAAAACGTGATGCTGTAAAGCA